TAGTGCCAAAGAAAAGAGATATGCATGAATATTAGAAGCTTTCTAACTCATAAAGGGGGGGTTGGGTTGTTTTAACTATGACGCGACGGAACTGTCTATATAACCTTACTAGTTATTGTAATCGGTGCTGGTTCTCTTTGGAGACGGGCCGCTCTCTATTGTTGTGTGCACTCTTCAATAAAGAGCTTGTGTTTGGACCTTGCTGGTGTTGCCTGTCTCTCTGCGGTCAGACAACAAACCGTGCCGTCTGGGTTCGAGTCCCTGACAAGAACATTATTGAGGAAGGCTATGGAAGTGGACAGAGAGCTTGTAGAATGCTTTTAGGCTCCCGAAGGGTTGTAGCAGTTGCGAAAGCAGTTGGTAATACAGTCTGATATCCATCTAGAAAGTCTTTGCCTAGAGACTGGGGATCCCTTAGAGCTGTCTGCGATGGACAGGAATAGTCTTGGAGATTTTCTGAAAGGTTCGATCCTTTCCAAGTAGAAGGCTAACGCTCTTCTGATGTCAAGTGTGTGTAGTGTTGCCTCCCTTTTATCCTGATGTGGTTTGGGAAAGAATGCTGGGAGGTGAATAGGTTGATTTATGTGGAAGACTGCAGGTATTTTTGGGAGGAATTTGGGGTGTGATTGCAATGTGACCTTGTATTTGAAGAAAATCTTAAAGGGGGAGAGGATACGCCATTAGGGTCCCTATCTCTCCCACTCTCTGAGCACGTGATGGCCAATAGGAACGTGGTTTTCATAGAGAGGTGTAGGAGTGAGCAAGTTGCCATTGGTTCAATGGGAAACTTTGTACAACAGCTCAAAACCTGGTTAAGGTCCCCTGCTGGTATAAGGATCTCTGATTTGGGGGTAGAGGTTACTCATGCCTTCAAGAAATCTTTTTGTTGTAGGATGAGTGAACACCAAATGACCCTCTATCTTCTGGTAGAATGGCTGATAGGTTTACCTTCACCGAGCTTTGAGATAGCCCAGATTTCTTTAATTCCAGGAAGTAAAGAGGAGGATGTAGAGGTAATTTGTCTTGCGTCACACCAGAGTTGGAACCTGTTCCAATCTAATTGGAGAACCAGTCAGATCTGTTATGTGTTGCAGATCCACATGAACCTATGTCATAATGGTAGGAAGTAGGAAAGATGAAATAATTGGTTAAGCTGGCTTCTTCTTTGGCTCTATCACCTTAGAACAATTTGGAGCTTTTATGTCCTCAGGACTCAGATCCATAATAGAATCCAATGAATTACCAAAGATGTGTTTTAATTTGACCTTTCTTTTCCTTGAAAGCACATTGCTTAGTTCTGGCATGTTATCTGGAGCCTTGGGTTCCTTAGCCAGAACCGTCTCAGATGCAGGCTGTATCTTAGAGCTGAATCACTGGATTTAGCTACCAAAATCTCAGTTGGCTTGGAACCAGAGCTCCATGCCAAGACCAAACCCTTTTCCATGGTTCTCTTTTGGGAAAGAACTCAGAGCCACGTTGGATCCCTTATCTTTTCTGTCAAATCTCTTTGAGGTTCAGATCCTAGAGGTTGGGCAGACAGGGCCTCTTGAGGGCCTGAAGTATATTTTCTCTCTCCTTACTGGCCCAAGTAGTGAACATGCTAAAAACAGCACAATGTGAAGGGGAACGTCCTTTCCCATGTCATTTAAGTCACCTGACACATGCACTGGATGCCAGTAAGACTGCAGGACATGATGCACATCTTTTAAAATCATGCTTCATTGTCTTTGGATCTGCAATCAACGCCAATACCATAGTCTTCGTAAATATTTTAAGTTAAAATCCTAATGCTAATACTATGAACTATAAAACTAGCTAGATAATCTAATCTAACAACTAATGCAGTGTGACAAAGTTCCTCCTCTATCTTGGTAGGTCCTGCGCTTATTGGCAGATTTTCTTGCCTCAGAGATTCACCATGTGGGTTGGGGAACAGCCCAGAGACCTTCCCCTCTGGGAGAACCCACAGTCCAGGTCAATTGGGAGGTTTGGGGGGAACCCGGGCCCGCACTCTACTCTGGGTTCCAGCCCAGGGCCCTGTGGATTGCAGCTGTCTATAGTGCCTCCTGTAACAGCTGCATGACAGCTACAACTCCCTGGGCTACTTCCCGATGGCCTCCTCCAAACACCTTCCTTATTCTCACCACAGGACCTTCCTCCTGGTGTCTGATAACCCTGGTCTGCAATTTTTGAGAAGTCATCTGCTTCAGAGATAAAATGTGCTATTTATTATATATTTTGATGTGCTGAATTCAAATATGACAATTAAAACATATTGGCTGATTGGCTACTGTTTCTAAGATATTTAAGTTTTTACATTTTATGTCTATGTATATTGTGTAGATAGTAGAGTTTTAATCATAAATTGTAAACCTAAGTCTTTTCATGTGTTTATGGTTGCTTTACATGATAATATTTCACCTGTCCTGTTTATGTAACACTTTAAAAATCAGCAAAAGGGTTATATAAATAAAATTTATTATGAAACAAAAGGCAAAAAACTATTATGTACATAGTATAGTCCTATTCAGTGTCTACTCGGCGCTTCTTGGCTTGTCTCTTGTATTCATTAAATGGAGCATCTCTTGTCACTGGCCAGCAATAGTCTGCGAGCATTGAT